TATGATGAGAATAATCTTTTGCTTCATCCTCATGAATTCAGGTTTTCTCAAGTAAGTAAAGTTAGCACCAGATTCGCGTATTTCTTATCCCGATTCGCTTTCTTACCTGTGTTACCTATCTAGACACTTGTGTTAGGTGCCGAATTTTAAGCTCTATCGAACGGTACCGGATTCAACCAGGGTCATCGGGCAAAAACCCATCACTTTGTCCGAAATACTGCCTTATTCCCTGTGTAAGAACACCCGATATTATGTATTTCTTGTCCGGATTCGCTCTAACACTTGTGTTGGCTCTCTCATTGAGTGCGTTGGATGCAGAATTTAATTCTCTATCCGATGGTACTATTTCCAATAGCTGTCATCGGGCAAAAACTGGCGCTTATACCGCAAATACTTGGGTCCCAGAGAGGGTCTTCGGTATAAAGCTTTTCCTGACAATAATCTGATACTATTCAATTTTACGCTTGCGCTTAATTTTAATATTGTTCCATATACATAACTACTGTTCTTGTTCTGAGTGTTGATATTTCATGCTACTTACTGTAAGTGTCGTGCATGCTTCTAATAAGCAAATTCATTAAAACTTAGCGCTCGTTATTTTTCTATTTTATTAACTTGACTTTTTGCTATTAGTAATATTTATCCAAATCAATGCTTTAAACCGATATTGTTTCATAGAATGCTTGCACACAAATGTCACGACTAAATTATGCTTTCTTTTCCCTTACTTCATCACAACTGTTCAATTTTCTTCATTGAAAAAAAATAGCCATACCTCTACATTAACTAATTTGAATTCATATGTGATTTTGAAAGCTGAGCGAAATCTCAACTGTCTACTCTCATGAATACTACTCATCACCTACCAAGAGAAAGGCGAATGAAATAAATCAATAATTTGAGAGAAGCTCACATATACAGGCAAAACTTCAAAAAAGTCTATCCGCATGCCACCAATATCATGCATACATATCGTGTATAGCTTCTAACCATAGGTACGCAGCATGAGGGAGGACGATTCTCCAAGCCCACTGTTAATAACACTAACATCCCCACCACCAGATCAATATATTATGAATGACCTAATATCCGACATCGATGGACTAGAAATAAACCTTTCCAAAATGAAAATTCCTATCAACCGATAAGGAATATTTCTGTGCGCAGCAACACTCATGAAAATTCAAAAAACATTCCCCATCAAAAAAACATTCCTTCATTACTTTCCCAAAATCTGAAAACCGAATACTCAAAAACCATTTGCGTTTACACAAAACATGACCATAGTGATACCAAACCATCCAGAGCTACCCGCCAACACCATGCTGCTACCTTCAAGATATTGGACAAAACAGATATTCTTCCTCCGCTCTTACCCATGAAATTCTACCATTTCGAAGTGAGTAAACTTTCTCGTAACACACATTCCATAAAACACTGAAAACAGCATGCGCAGAAAAACCGTAGAAAGATCAAATTGAATCTGCTCTTAGACCAGTATTTCCGGGAAACCCCGTGATTTTTGCCCCACCACACAATCTGAAAACAGCGCCATCGAAAAGAGAATTAAATTCTGCATCCAACACACTCAACGAGAGAGCCAACACAAGTGTTAGAGCGAATCCGGACAAGAAATACATAATATCGGGTGTTCTTACACAGGGAATAAGGCAGTATTTCGGACAGAGTGATGGGCTTTTGCCCAATGAACCTGATTGAAACCGGTACCGTTCGATAGAGCTTAAAATTCGGCACCTAACACAAGTGTCTAGATAGGTAGCGCAGGTAAGAAAGCGAATCGGGACAAGAAATACGCGAATCTGGTGCTAACTTTACTTACTTGGTTTTATCGACGATCTTTCACTTTGAACAGCACTCATGTTAACTGATATCTATAGATGACGCAAATCAAGGAAACAAATCTCCATTGGTTTGTCATATTCTATTAACCAAACAGTAAACTGATACAGTAGACAAATAAAAAAGCGGTGGAACATGATTTTCATGAAGCTGACATAGAGATATCTCGTATTTCATAATGTTAAAAGCATCCTCTACTTAACTTGAAATGTCAATACTAGCGTGTGCATATGGGCAATTCCATTCGTTAGGGACGTGACGTCGCAAAATTAGAATGCTTATATCTCTGGTTAAAAAACTTCTTTAGAGCTAGTTTTTTTATGACATAAGCATGTTAAGTTACCTTATGTAGCCTGAAAAATTCAGCCATATAACTCTCCGTTTAGAGAAGTTACCAGCAAAAAGTAGCGTTAGGAACGTGACCAAAGAAAAGACATAAACTTTCACTACGCCTTCTTCAGCTTAAAAAAACTACGAATTGAGGCAGTATTCTTGAAAAGTAAATAGTACATTTTGTAGGTGACATTTGCTAGTACAAAACTTCTATCTGAATTTTTTTCTCAATATGCTTAGATTTTTCAGAAACTCTAATTTACTTTTTGTTAGGGACGTGACGAATTCGCTAGGGACGTGACACAGTGCGAATAGANAAGTCTTGGCCAGTTCGGTTTATAATATGAAATTTGAATGATTGTGCAATCAATCAGTCAGGTACAAGGACAATTAGATTCGAGAAAAATGATTCAAAGAGGAAAAAATAAGTTGATTACATGATATATGGATCATTACCAACAAATATGCCATTCTTGGTATCCTAGAACTCGGTCAAAAGTCATGAAACCTAATGCCACATTCTATTTTAGACTAATTAAATATTCACTACTTCTCTTTTAATTAAAGATGCAGTGATCGAGTCACGCACAAAATATCAGAGGCTTACGTCTCTTGGATTCCATTCTCACTTACACCCTACGAGAAACAGTTGATTTTGATACAAGTTTTTCAATGGATCAAACTCGGATCACGAACCCATTATCGATTTCGACCTTAAAGCAGACAATATCTATTGAAAACAAGAGTTGTAAAGATTATTTTGGTACTGTCTCTTTTTTTATATATTTCAGTCAACTTTTGTTTTCATAGAAAAGAAATATAAAGCAAATTCAAATTCTAATAAAGTTAAACTCAATTTTTTTTTGAAAATTTATCTAGTTTGATGTTTTGAATTGTTGAGTATGTTTTATTCAATACATTGTTTGTTACGAAAGATTTTCAAAACTGAATTTACCGATAAAAGAAGTACACAATCGTTTTTGATAAACTCAGAGACATATTTCAATATAAATCACTGAACTTTTTTCATACATCTTTGGTGTTTCATGTTCTATAGATCATGAAGGAAGAACACTTGTTCCACTACTCTCAAATACCTATGGTTGTTTCTTGTTTCTTGAACAAAATCAATGACGAACGATTGTTTTCTCATTGGATAGAGCTATATATGTTGACCTCTTTTGATGATTTCGGACTGAATAATAAGAAAGCCATTTTGAGATATTGTTTAGACAGGGACCTGGTTCTAGATGATGACTATTAAGACGATAAACATATTTCGAGTAGTCCAAAGTCAAAAAATATTCAGTTTATCATGCCGTTGCCGTTTCTACTAAAAAAAACAGTTGATATGTGTACATGGGGCACGAGCAGATTGGATGTTTCGCTTGGTTTTTATTCGTTCTTTCTTTCACTTTCATTGAAAAAGAAAAAAAACATCGTCGAACATAGTTAGTCTCTACATAATTGTATAGAAATGCGGTCTTGTCCTATTCCATTTCAAGAGAAACAACAAAAATAATTATTTTTGTTGTGTACATCGCAAGTATCTTTATGGTTTTATACATTATCGTCGACGTTATAAGGACTGAATACTCGAAGTGTATCGTCAGTATGAAACTGATACGAAAAAGTTCTCTATGAGAACAATCTGTCATATCGGCAAAGTTATCTCGCAGATTCATACTTTATTGATTCGACAGATACTCGACGACGAACACTAAAACACAAATCAGATATTACTTCTGCTCGCAATAATTTTATCTAGTTTAATTTAATGTTCTACTTAATGATCATATTGGAAATCATTTTAGTATTCGTTATAGGCATTCAATTCTTCCAATGGACTTCTGTTAGTCACCACGACGATTGTTTCGTATGCGAACACAACCCATTATTCAAACATGATTAAAGGATTAGTTTTCTGTTTATTCAATGTTTTATTGTAAAAAATAAATAAAATTTCATATGAAGTATTTTAAAAAAAGTATCCAATTCTATCAATTTAGTCAAATGCATTTCCATTGTTTTCTAGGCTAAAATGGAATGTGAAAATCATAAAGCTCTATTTAGAAGATCTTGTGGTCCAAATCGGATATAGTAAACTGTTTCTACATCTTACTGATGTTATTCATGAGAAGTCTACAATTTCAATGTATGTTGACAGCAAACAACAACAAAAATGGCGAAACTAGACCATAAGTGTATTGACGGCACTTCATTCGACCATTAATATCACCGATCGCTTTACATGACAGTAAAATAGAACAATACCAGTTTTATTTAGGACAATCAACTATTTTATTGTTTCGTGTTTCAGACGCAGCTAATGTATAATTTATGATAAACGAAAGTGCATCCGTAGTGTGGAATCGAATAGGAAAAACAAGGAAACAAAGAATAACGCTTCATTGAAAACTAACTAGTATCTGCAAAGAGACTCTATTTACTGTATTATATTATAAGTTCAACGAATTTTCTTGGAAAAACCATCGTACTATATCAGTTAATCGATCAATCAATAGTTCCGTAATATTGTATATCGAAATATTTTTGTCGGCAGTCTAGTAATTAGACTTCACAAAAGCTCAAGTCCACTCACATGCTTAGAAAACAAGGGGCTGAACTTCTCTATGAGATTTTTCTGGCTACGCCACGATTTTATTTTATTTTTTTTGTTTCTTTGCAACAAAACACGAAAAGCAAAAACGGTGAATAAGATAATAAATAATTTTATAATGAGTGGCAAAAGGTGAAGAATTGTCGTTTCGTTGCAAACAAGATCGTTCTATCTAATTGAATTACTCTTACTAAACGAAATGAAAATTAAGTTCATATAAAATATAAATAAAAAATTTAAATTTACCTTTTCATAAAGTATTTGTTCAAATATTGAATTATCTTTATCCTCTGCTAACCATTGTTCACAATAAAATATATGTATTTGTCTTTCATCTTTAACTTCAACTTTGTCTAAAAACCAATCACTTAACATTCCATTATTATCACAACGAATTTTAAGTTTATAAACATTTCCTAAATCATTACTTTCAATTATAAATCTATCGATTTGTTTTCTTTCAAATTTATTTTTATTTGTTTGAGAATGCGTTAATTCGCGTTCACCTGTATCACCTTTGTCCCCATAAATTGTTAGAAAAACATTGGCATTTGTGCGCGAACCAAATTTATCACCTGTATAAACATCCACTATATATTTTTTATTAAGTTTTTCTTCAATAAACTTTTCTGGAACAAGTTCACGTACAATGGATCCATCATCTTCATTTTTAGCTAACCAACGATTACATTGAAATATATATGTTTTTGTCTTTTGATCTGGAATTAATCGACAAATTTCAACATGATCTAAATGCCATGCAGGACCTACTCAACAAAAAAATAATAATTCACAATTAAACGTCTATTTTCTCTTACAAAAGCCAGTATTATCATGTCCAATACGAATTTTTTCAATATAATCTCCAACATCTTCCAGTTCAAGTATAAAAGTATCTATAGAACCCATTTGAAATTTTCCGTTTTGATCTATTTTACTACATAAAATAACTTGATTAGTTGATTTTTTAAGACCATAAATTTGAATATAAACACTAGCATTTGTTCCTGCATCAAGAATATTTGATGTATAAATTTTTATTTTATATGGAATATCTAATGATAATATTTTTAAAAAATTTTTAATAGAAAATATATTTTTTATTCTTACGAGATGAATAAATTCCAGTTGACATTTCTTTTGGATATAATTCAACTTCTAATTGACAAATATGTTTTGTTTTTTTTAACCATTTTCCACATGGAAATATCCATGTATGATCTAATTTTGGTACATTAATTTCTACACATTCTAATAACCAATCTGATCCAAAACCTGAATCATCATGACCAATTCTTACAAAAAGAAAAATACAATTAAATAATTCTTTGATAATATTTTATTTATACTTAATCTTTTTTAGTTGACCAATATCTATAGCTTCAATTTCAAATAAATCTCTATGACCTTTTTCAAATGGATCTTTATGTGTTTTGGATTTAACTAATGGAAGTTTGCCTATTATTTATATAAATATGTTTTTATATTATTTAATAAAAATAAGTCTTACCTGTATCTTCATGTTCACCAAATATAATTATATAAACATTAGCATCTGTACCACTACCAAATTTATTTGAAGTAATCACATTAATTCGATAAGTTGTAGCTAATGTTATGATTAACAAAAGAAAAATAAACATTTAATAATAATTAAATTTTTCAACAAAAATAACACAGAGAAAGACAAAGAGCTTTGACGATGAATACGTGTCAAAGAAAAGAGGACATATCCGAAGAAAAACAGTACAGATGAGAATATTATTTCATCGATTACGTATCAATATGAATTCTTTTTGTTTTTAAACTTACTTTGATGTCTAGTTGATGCAGGAAGTACTTTATTTTCAAATGCAAGAATTTCACGAGATATCATTCTATCGCCTATATCAACAGCTAACCATTTTTCACATATAAAATGATATCTTTTAAATAGTAGAAAGATAATTAACGGATTTTTATTTCAATTTTTTCTATTATATTTACCTAACACCAATCTCAGGATCAACAATTTCAATTCGATCAAGATACCATGCAGAAGCCATCTGTAGAAATAAACCAAATACAATATGAGTTTAAATAAAAAGATTTTTATGCTGAAAAAAGATGTATAGAATGAGAGAGTGACGAAATTTTGTATAGGGAAACGAAAGAATATATACGAAAATGCAGAAATCTAAATCTTTCTAAAAAAAATTTCTCGTAAGATCGAAACCAAGACTATCTTGTAAATTCCTATTCAAAAGAACAGTTTGACAGTTCCTTACAAATTAGATTTATAAGATTCTGAAGATTAACTTTCAGTGTGATGTTTATACCCCTGTACTATCATGTCGAATTTTAATTTTTGTCAATTTTCCCAATGCTGGAGCTTTGACTTCGAAAATATCTTCCTAAAATTGAAAAAAGAAAGAAACAAATGAATTAAAACGAAAAACGTAAAAAACAAACTTGTTTTCGTTCAAATTTATTGATATTTGTTTTTGATTTCGTTAATTGATGTTCACCTATAATAATTCTTTATGTATTTTAAATAAAATGAAAATCGAATTATTTACCTGAATCTTCATATTGACCATAGATTGTTAGAAAAACACTTGCATCTGTACCAGCCCCACTTTTGTCACCCGTAAAAACATGTACAAGATAAGTTATTTCTAATAAAATATTTTTCTATTTAATTTAAAAGAAGTTTTTCATTTTACTTTTTTGATTGCTCAATACATTTTCATTTTCATTAGTTGGTAACAATTCTCGAATAGTTTGTTTATCATGTTGATCACTATCAAACCATTGTTGGCAAACAAACCAATATTCTTCAACATTTACATCTGATACTCTTTTTCGTTTATCAAATGGTTTACTTAAATATCGTTGAATAAGTACCTAAATTAAAATTTTGATTAAATCAAAAATAAAAAACTACAAAATAAAATCTTACTTTTTCAAGATACCATGCTGAAGCAAAATTTTCTGAATGATGACCAATTCGAATTTTTTCAATTTGTCCTATGTCAGGAGCTTCAATTTTAAATTTATCAACCTAAAATAAAATTCATATTAAAAATAAAATTTCTTGAAAATTATTCATACCGATTTTCTTTCAAATGCATCGGATTTACTTTTAAGAATAATTTCTTCTGTTTTGCCATATAAACCACATATTTGAATAAATACTTTCGCATCTGTACCAGCACCAACTTTATCACCAGTAAAAACTGTTATTTCATATAGAATAACTATCGAAAAACAAAATATCGTTTATTATTTAAATTATCTTTTAGTATCAAACTCTATTTATTTTGATACTTACGACTTGTTTTGTTAGTTACGTCAGATGGTATTAAATCAAGTTCAATTTTTCCATCACCTTCATTTTTATCTAACCAACGATAACAGACGAATCTATTGAAGTAGAAAATAATCATAAATTAAAAAGAATTTAACTTGTCCAAATAAAGAATTTTCTGATAAAATCAATCAATTGAATTACATTTTACAATTCCATGGATTTACACAAAATTTCAGTGTCCATAAATGAGACACTTTGAGACTCAATGAATCTGATGCATTAGTAACAACAGTTCTAGTTCAATACAGTGAGAGCAGTGATATTCAAAAAATATGTTTTTTTTGAATACCATATGGACAGTAATGTGCCGTTGCTTTCCTTTTGTTTAGATTGTTTCTTGCATTATACGCACAATACTCATAAGTACCAAAAATTGACCATTTTCGACCAGTTTTCTTTTGAATAACTCAACATAGAAAACCTAGTGAACCTATGGATATTGCAAAATGTTTCATCAAATTTTATTTGCTATATTATTTATATTAAAAGAGCGGAAAACAAAAGAAAAACTTAGCACATGAACACTAGATAGTATGACTTCATACAAGATAGATAATATCAACTTTTGAGTCTACAGTATGCAGCTAAAATGAGGTTTACCGATCTAATTCGACTGATAACAGATATTCGACATTATGTATACATAAAAAATATAATCTATATATACGAGCGCATACCTATATAGTTCTCGACAGTTTGGTGCCTCAATTTCAATCCAATCAAGAAACCATCCTGCACCAAGATTTTTTCCATTATGTCCAATAAGTATACGTTCAATCTATTGATAGTATTAGAATAATTTTAATAAAAAGAAAAACTAACAAACTTTGCCAAGATCATAACATTTTAATTTAAAACTATTGATTTGTCCACGTTCAAATTTATTTTTTGTACTATTACCTGTTGTAAGTTGAATTTTATCTGTAGTATCTTTCTCACCAAATATTTTCAAATATACATTAGCGTCAGTACCAGCTTGAAAAATATCACCAGTTTTTATTTTAACATTATATATTGTTCTATTTAAATGTTGTGTTGCCATTAATTCACGAACAATGTGTCCATCATCTTCATCAACAGCAAGCCATCTAAAAATGATTTTCTTTTTATTGATTAAAAATATGGCTTTTTCTTTTTGCTTAAATACCTATTGCAAATAAATGTGACTGGTTCATAATGTCCATCGTCTGAACGAACGACAACTTTATTTAAAAACCATCCAGAACCTACTCCTATTTAATGAATATATAAATAAATAAAAACACAGCATTATCTTATTAACATAACTAACCAGTGCCATCATGGCCGATTTGAATTTTTCGTATTTGTTTTAATAAAACAGCTTCAATGATAAAAGTATCAACCTATGGAAAACCAACTTTTTAAATGAATATTTTTTTAAAATGTATTTTTACTTGATTTTTTTCGAATTTATTTTTATTTTGTAATGAATATTCTAATAGACGCACTAGAAAAAACAACGAGTTCTTTTTTTTATTAGAAATTTATTAAAATTAAAAGCTGATATGTAACCTCCTGTATCACCATATTCACCATAGATGTTAATAAAAACATTTGCATCTGTACCAGCACCAGTTTTATTTCCTGTATATACATCAACTATATATTTAACAATAGGTAAAGGTCTTGATATTTTTGATCCTTCAGCTGGTAATTCTCGAATAATTTGTTTATCATCTTCTGTTTTTGATAACCATCTTCCACAATGAAATATATATTCTTGATTTGTTTTAAGATTATCCATTTCAATCTAAAAATCTCATTAGATAAAACAAAAGAAAATATCTTTTCTTTTTTGCTATTACTTGATCAAGATGCCATGATGTCGATAAATTTTTATCATTAAGACTAACACGTAATTTATATGGTATACCAACATCATTAATATCAACTTTAAATTGATCACAATGACCTTGTTGTAATGTATCGGAATTTCTTTGTAATTTAATATTTCTTGATCTTCCATTATCACCATAGAGAACAAGAATTACTTGAGCATTTGTACTTGCTCCTTTTTTATCACTTGTATACACCCATATGTGCCATGGCATACCTAAATAAAGAAACTAAATTTATGAAAAATAATCTTTAATTTATTTACTTGGTCGATGAATTTTACGTAATGATAAATCTTCTTTTAATCGACGTTCAGTAAGTTTATCACCTTCATCATCAGCTAACCAATTATTACAGGGAAATGTCTGTTTAATACCTGTAATTGGACATTCGATAATAGCCTAAAAAGTTTAATAGTATTTGTTATTCAATGTATCAATGTTATTTCTCAGTTCGATGGAATGAAAGAGAAATTATAGCTTAAATATAATATATGAATTTGGTCTTATTTATCATTGCGTATAACAAATAAAATTTAGTAAATGTTACCTAAGACCAGCAATCAATCATTAGATCTACACATAAGCGAAATTCATCGCTCATCATATTTTATTTACATCATTTCATAAGTGTTACATAAGATCGGTAGAATATTCAAATAAAAACAAAGTATCGGTCCATTGAATGAGATGTTTAACAGTAAACATCGATGATACATTAAAAAAAGTCCAATTGAAAAGTTAAAAAAATACCTGTATGTTATGCATTAAAACAAATAAAATTAAGATCAGTATTTGACTTTAAGAAGAATTGCTAAAAATTTTTTCTTAAAATGATTCTACAGAAAAACGTTAACAAGACACGGTAGCACTATGAAAGTCTCTGTCATCTAAGAGTGTATCTGAATTAGTGGCAAATTCAAATTCCTTAAAAAAACATCAACTTGTAATAAAATAGCTATCCTTAATAAAATCTGAACAAACCTTATCAAGATACCATCCGGATGCAAATCCACTGTTATCATGTCCAACATCCAATGCTGTTAATGGACTAAGATTATTTGGAGCATAAATTGTAAATTTATCGACAGAGTTTTTTTCAAATTTTTTATCGTTTAAAAATATTTGACTTGACGATGAATCTTTTCCATGTATAATTATATAGACTCTTGAATCCGTACCAGCATTGATTTTATCACCTGTATAAATTTTTATGTTATACGAAATATCTAAAAACCAAAATTACACACTTTTTCTTTCATTCATTATATTTGATATTAATAACAATAATCAAATGGAATATCTATGCTTTCTTTTTACTTACCATCATCTGTATGCATAGCTGAAAATTGACAAAAAAAAAGATTCAATTCTTCTTTTCTTTTTAAATATAAAAAAATATTTACTTGTTGTCGGGTGTTTTTCATGATCAGTTGATATTTTTGGATAAAGAAAACGGGCTATTTGTTTATCATCTTCAGTTTTTGCTAACCATCGATTACATGGAAATTCATATATATGATGTGCATTAACATCTTCAATTAATATTCGATCCAAAAACCAGCTAGGTGCAAAACCTTGATTATTATGTGCGATTAAAATTTGATTTAATTCACCAATAGTTGGACATTCAATTGTAAAATCATCTTTTCTATTAAAAGAAAAAGAACATTTTTCATCATAGAGAATACTGTACAAGTCTTACTTTCCAGCTTCAAAATTATTGTTTCTATTATCTAGCTTAATTGCATCTGTTTCACCTACATCACCATAAAGAGTAATGAATACATCAGCATCTGTTCCAGCGTCTTTTTGACTTCCAGTATAAACTGTTATTTTATATTGATTATCTATCAATAACAAGCAAAAATGTTTAAAAAAGAATCAATTAAAAGTTTTGTTTTTTTCTTACCTTGTTTTATTCCACTTGATTGTTTACTTAATATAAGATCTCGAAATATCTGTCCATCACCTTCATCTTTTGCTAACCATTGATTACATGTTGTAAAATATGTTGTTTCTGGATCAGAAAGATCTGTCACAATAATCTAATAAAATAAAGTAGAAATATTTTCACTGAAATTGAAAAAAGAAAAACAGTAAATAAATATTGATACTTGATCAAGAAACCATCCAGATAATCGACCAGTATTATCATGTTCAATATGAAGTTTAGTTAATTCTCCAATATAATCACCATTGACACAAAATTTATCGACTTGATTTCGTTCAAATGGATCTTTATTGTTAGACTTTTTTAAATGAATTTTTTCTGTTCGTTTTCCATTATTTCCAAATAATGTTATATAAACTTGACTATCTGTACCGGCACCTCTTTTATCACCAGTATACACAATTACTTCATATGAAGTCTCTAAATCATAGAGAAGAAAATGACCTTGCAATATAAAATTCATATTTGTATTTGAAAAGTAAAGAATAATAATCTGAACAATTGTTTTATCTTTTATCGATTTTTGAAAACCTGATGGTATTAATAAACAAGATGAAATCTATTTTTTTAATACTAAGCCTCCTACATTGTGGAGAAATATTATCAGAAATGAGATAATTTCTCGAGAAATTGGAAACTGATTATCAATTCTTTCACAATTCTATCATTCATAATATTTAAAGTAGAATCAGTAGACCTAATTCTGTGAGAACAAAATACTATCTTCGTAAACCTTGGATAACTCCAGTTTCCGAACTAAAGTAAACATTTCTCTATCGATCGATTGAAAAGTAATCAGTTGATATTTAGTAAGAAGCATCATAATAGCACCGAGATCATTTTTTCTTGAACTTTCTGCCGTTTGCATGTAAAATGGCAATGAATCTCAGAAAAACCTCGATTAATTATTATAAATGATCTCTATTCCAAACAAAAAAAGAATACGATTCGATTTTCCTTGACATGACAAATAGACTGATGTTTTTGTTTCAAAACTATTCGAATTTATCTATTATGTCATTTCTTCGATACAAAAATATGAAATGAAAAAAAAACCAACGTATTTGTATTTCTTACCTTGCTGCGACATTTTGTTTTATTTTACTATTTGTGTCGATCAACGTTTTTTCTTTTCCTTATTCTGTCAATTAG